TTAGATGAAGGGATTTGTCCAAGATTCCACAGAAAATCTAGGGGATAATTAGGACTAAGACTGAGATTGTCTATGCTTTCAGACTATTCCATCAGCACTTTGCCAATTGCTGAGAAGGAGGTGGTACAGGCGGGAGTTTCCAAAAATAGCTCACTTACTTCTTTGAGCATCTGCTGGGACTTGTGCAAATACAGACACAGTGAAGCCTTGACCTGAATCCTGCAGAGTCCCCTCCTGCCTCTGCGACGTGGGAAACAGAATAAGAACAGAAAAATGAGACAAGAGAACAAACTGGGGAAATGTTCAAGGAAAAGGCATTAAAGGAAACAGAACAGAACTGTCTTAGCACCAGTGTATTTCTACATGATGTTTAAAGTTGCATGGAATCTGAGAAGATTACAGTGCTCTTAATAATGTTTTATCACAAATGATAATTCACTACTAGGTCAAATACACTTATTATTTGAAATATATTCATGGACATATATATATGCATATATATGTATACTCTCATACATAATATGAATGAAAAACGTTGACCAATATAGCAGAAATAGTTATAACTCTAATCAAACACTAAGGTCTCTTTTTGTAACTATTTTTGTGCATGCATGCATACCAAGTTGCTTTGGTCTTTGTGACCCCACTGACCGTAGCCCACCAGGCTGCTTTGTCCATGGGATTCTCCAGGCAAGAATACTGGAGTGGGCTGCCATGCCTTCCTCCAGGGGATCTTCCCGACCCAGGGATCAAACCTGTGTCTCTTCTGTTTCTCTTATATCTCCTGTATTGGCAGACGAGTTCTTTACACTAGTGCTACCTGGGAAGCCCAACTATTTTTATAAAATTAATTAATTTGGACTTGCAGTTAGTGAACTCATTTAAACTTATTTACAATAAGTCATTTTCTTTAGAAATCTCAATAAAGCATTCTACTCAGAATGCTGACCATCTTAACTTGAACTTGGCCTCTTATTCTAATTTGCTCTAGCTCCATTCATAAATATAGAAGTAAACTGTAAACAGGAATATTTTTGCAAGAATAAAATATGATTTTTCAGTCTCAATTGATTGTTATTGTGGAGACTTGATCTAAAATTATTACTTGCTATCATCTGAGTTTCCTTAGCTTTGACTGTCAGCTTAGCCTTCTAGTTATCATATTTAAAAGGATATTATGTTTTATGTTCAAACATAAACAAAAGCCCTTGGATTTATTCATTCAAAATTTATTACACCAAGAACTAATTTGGTCCATGGATGTTCCATGTTTTCTTCTCTCAGGGTTTAACAGAATTTTAATTCCAGTTGTTAAATCCTGCCTTTAGTGTGTGTCGTGGATTTTTTCTTGTACCTTCGTTGTCTGGAATAGTAGGAGGCAGGGCACTCTGAAGGGTCCTCCTACATCTAAGGATGAAGAGGGGCTTCACCCGTGGCTCAGTTCAGTTCAGTTGCTCAGTTGTATCTGACTCTTTGCGACCTCATGGACTGCAGCACACCAGGCCTCCCTGTCTGTCCATCACCAACTCCCGGAGTTTACTCAAATTCATGCCCATCGAGTCGGTGATGCCATCCAACCATCTCATCCTCGGTCATCCCCTTCTCCTCCTGCCCCCAATCCCTCCCAGCATGAGGGTCTTTTCCAATGAGTCAACTCTTCACATGAGGTGGCCAAAGTACTGGAGTTTCAGCTTCAGCATCAGTCCTTCCAGTGAACACCCAGGACTGATCTCCTTTAGAATGGACTGGTTGGATCTCCTTGCAGTCCAAGGGACGGACTCTCAAGAGTCTTCTCCAACACCACAGTTCAAAAGCATCAATTCTTCAGTGCTCAGCTTTCTTTATAGTTCAGCTCTCACATCCATACATGACTACTGGAAAAAACATATATTTGACTAGACCGACCTTTGTTGGCAAAGTAATGTCTCTGCTTTTTAATGTGCTGTCTAGGTTGCTCATAGCTTTTCTTCCAAGGAGCAAGTGTCTTTTGATTTCATGGCTGTAGTCACCATCTGCAGTGATTTTAGAGCCTAAAAATATAAAGTCTGCCACTATTTCCACTGTTTCCCCATCTATTTGCATAAAGTGATTGGACCAGATGCCATGATCTTCATTTTTTGAATGTTGAGTTTTAAGCCAGTTTTTTCACTCTCCTTTTTCATTTTCTTCAAGAGGCTCTTTAGTTCTTCCCTTTCTGCCATAAGGGTGGTGTCATATGCATATCTGAGGTTATTGATATTTCTCCCAGCAATCTTGATTCCAGGTTGTGATTCATCCAGCCCTGCATTTTGCATTATGTACTCTGCATATAAGTAAAATAATCAGGGTGACAATATACAGTCTTGACATAGTCCGTTCAATGTCCCACTCTAATTGTTGCCTCTTGACCTGCATACAGATTTCTCAGGAGGCACGTAAGGTGGTCTGGTATTCCCATCTCTTGAAGAATTTTCCAGTTTGTTGTGATCCACACAGTCAAAGGCTTGGCATATTCAAAGCAGAAGTAGAATTTTTTCTGAAACTCTCTTGCTTTTTCTATGATCCAGCAGATGTTGGTAATTTGATTTCTGGCTCCTCTGCCTTTTCTAAAACCAGCTTGAACATCTGTAAGTTCTCAATTCAAGTACTATTGAAACCTGGCTTGGAGAATTTTGAGCATCACTTTGCTAGCATGTGAGATGAAGGCAATTGTGTGGTAGTTTGAGCATTCTTTGGCATTGCTTTTCTTTAGGATTGGAATGAAAATTGACCTTTTCCAGTCCTGTGGCCACTGCTGAATTTTCCAAATTTGCTGGCATATTGAGTGCAACACTTTCACAGCATCATCTTTTAGGATTTGAAATAGCTCAGCTGGAATTCCATCACCTCCAATTACTTTGTAGTGGTGCTTCCTAATGCCACCCTAACTTCACATTCCAGTTTGTCTGGCTCTAGGTGAGTGTCATAGCACTGTGGTTATCTGGGTCATGAAGTTCTCTTTCGTATAGTTCTTCTGTGGCTCAGTGGTAAAGAATCCCCCTGCAGTGCAGGAGACAAGGGAGATGCAGGTTCCACCCCTGGGTCAGGAAGATCCGCTGTAGCAGGAAATGGCAACCCACCCCAGTATTCTCGCCTGGAGAATCCCATGGACAGAGGAGCCTGGTGGGCTACATACAGTCTATGGGTCACAAAGAGCCGAACACAACCGACTGACTGAGCATTGTGGATGCAAAATTGTTCTGAGCTGGAAACAGAGGGAAAGAGGGGAGGAAATAACTGCTGTTTTTATGGGTGTCCTCATAGAAAACCCTGTAAGAGTCACGGCCTCTTTACTTGGAGCTTCCAGGTCCTAAGCAGCGGCTCTTCCTGGATGTCTGAGTCTACTTTATCTGTAAGGGGCTCAGTGGGTGTTCACAGTGCTTCTAGGAGAGTTTAACTTGTGTGCATTCCAAGCCTCTGGGGGTACCCATCGCTGACTCCTCCATAACATTGCCCTGTCAATCAGACTCTCTATCTTTAATTGCTCTTTTCCTGGGTCTTTCCCCTTAACTGGTAAACACACCCAAGTTATCCTTGTTGCAAACAAATATACAACAAGGAAAAGTAACAAACTTTTCTTGATTTCAGTTGCTGTAGTGTGGGCTGTCTACCCAGCCTCCATTACCCACTTCTGCCTTACTGAAAGAAACTGTTTTACTGTTGTTTTACATTATTAGTTTTTTTCACAGTACCCACATTGCCTCTACTGCAGTCCTTGTAACATAGCAGAACTGGCCTTCCTTCTACACCTAAGAGTGGCTCCCAGATTCCACCAAGTCAAGGGATGTCAATTTTATCTGCACATTAGACTCATCTGAGGGAAATTAAAAAAAAAAAAGATGCCTGAGCTTCCACCTGGACTAATTAAATTGAGAGATTGATGAGACGTGGGCATCAGAAATTTTCATAAGTTCCCCTGGCTGGGGATTTTGACTTCATCGCTCCCCAGTGTTTGGTCAGGAACTCAGGCTGCAGCCGGGTACAAGTGACTCTTCCTGTCCACGGATGGGAACAGGACCTACGCTGGCCCAGCCAGGTGAAGGGGAGGATGCTCCCCTGTGGTTGGGAGTGGCCCTCTGGCCCCTGCAGGTCACCAAGGGGGCAGGTTGCCTAGGTAACTGTCGGTGCTGGCTACTGTCTGTGATGACCAGCAAGGACATGGAGAGAGCGGTGTGGACTCACAGAGATGGGCACCAGGAGGGCGCGAGCCTGTGACCTGGCCTGACCGCACACTCCCGGAGGCCCCACCTCGGTCCTGTGTGTTTTCTGATCTGAGCCATGCTGAGGCAGGCTCTACTGCTTGGAGCATCCATCACCTCCCTTTTCTCCTCTCCAGAGTGTTCAGGCCACGGGCTTCTGACCGCCTCACGTCCAGTTGAAGGGCTGCCATCTGGCGTCTGCCCAGGATGCTGGGCATTGTTCTTGCTAACGCGGGTAACTGTGTCCTTCTCCTTGGTCCCTGTTCATCCGGCTCCACTCCCTCCGTCACAAGTACCTGCTCATAGACCTAAGTAGAGACCGGCATCTCTACTTTGATTTCACAGCGGAGAGTTCTCAGCCTAGAGCAGCTGGCCCTTCCTTCCTGCCCCCTTAAAGTAGAGTCCATCCTTCAGAATCAGATGTTCACTTCCTCCAGGAAGCTGTCCTCCACTCTCGCGGGGTGAGCATGAAGCTCCTATTGTGTGCACGCTGTCGCAGATGTGATGTCTTTCTGTTAACAGATGCGATGTCTGTCTGGGGCCAGTGACCCCAGTGAACAGGGTTGAGCCATAAGTCACATCACACCTGTCTCTCAACGTCTTCATAATGCATGACGCGTTGTTGTGACTCTTGTGGTCTGAACGCTGTCCTCCCAAAAGATGTCGAATTTCTAACCCCCGTCTTCCCCTGTCCTCCAGGATGGGGCCTTGTTTGGAACGAGGGGTTTTCGCAGGTTACTGAGTTTGGATGAGGTCACTAGGGTTGGCCCTGCTCCGATATGTCTATGCCCTCATGAAAAGGAGTTTTGGACACAGGCGTGCCCACGGGGAGAACACTGGGTGAAGGTCCACCTTGCTTTGGCTTCTGGACGGCAGAATGCTGAGGGCCAGCATTTCTGTCGTCTCAGCCACGTACACGGTGTCAGAGTCCGTGGTGCTCTGTGAGAGCAGCCGCGGGAAGCAGACAGAGAGGAACGCCTGCACAGTTACCGGAGGGCTGAGCGAAGAAGTGAGCGAAGGGGCTGAGCTTGACCCCAGGAACAAAGCCGCAGCCCCAAGACAGGTCGTGCTGTTACAGAATGCGAGCTCACACGCCCGACCTGCAGTGAGGGCAGTCAGCAACAAGACGGTCTTAGGAGCAGAGACAGGTTCACTGCAGGCTGCACAAGGAGAGCTGGGGGCTGGGCCTCCCCCACATCCTGAACCCTTCAAAGAATTTCAGCAAAATTGTTTTTTTTTTTTTTCTTTTGCCTGTGCCATGAGGCTTGCTGGATCCCAGTCCCCCAACCAGGGACTGAACCTGGCTGGTGGCAGTGAAAGCTCGGAGTCTCAGTTAGTGGACCGTGGGGGACTTCCCTCAGCAAAGCAGTTTTTAAAGACACGGTGAGGTCAGAGCGTGGCAGCTTGTTGTAAACTTCTTGGTGTAGGAATCCTTTGTCCTTGCAGGTCAGGTCACATGTTCCTGTGAATTTTTAACAAGACAAATGCTGTCCTCTGCTCTGCAACTTTTTATCTCTATATGAATGAGATATTAACCTTAAAGGTGAGATCTTTGAGAATTGGCTCTCCTGTATATTTCAGACTATAGGAGACAATTTTTTTTAAAATATCTGTTTTGTTTGTTTGTTTCTGGCCTTTGTACAGTCATGTGGGGTCTTAGTTCCCCAACCAGGGATCAAACCTGTGCCTCTTGGTTTGGGAGCATGGAGCCTTAACCATCAGACCCCAGGGAAGTCCCTGACATTCTTAAAGTAAAGCAAAAGAAATAGAATACAAAGGCTGAAGTAGAAGACAAATCTCACGTGGAAGCAGATTTGTTCTTCCCTGCTGCAGAGCCAAAGGGCGGGGAGGCATCTTTACTGCAGGGCTGGGTTCTGGGGCTCAAACCCAGACCACTCTGCTCAAAGTGGCATAAACAGTGGATGTGACTTTTAGCTTGTGAATTCACATCCTCCATTTTTAGCTAAGAAAATTATTTTTTAACCTAAGTTTTATCTAGATTTCTTTCTCCCTGCTCTTTTAAGAATTTATGTTAGGCTTTTCTGAAATTCAAACACTCTTATAAGCAATTGCATATTTAAAATCTATTTCAAGGTAATTATCTGCTTCCCTGTATTCTTCATTTCAAATCCTCTCGGTTCATTGGAAGTAATTCAGGTTTTCCTTCTCTCCAGACAATGCTTTGATAGACATTTTCCTACACTTTCAAAACATACTGAACTCAGAGTTCTTGGCAGAAATGAGAAAATAGTGGTCACATTCTTTTCAGGTAGTAAAGTGAAACTGACCTATTTAATTTTTCAAATCTCAAGGAATTTACACACAAGTAAAATTGGTTCATACCCCTGTAAAATGGCTGGACATTTATTATCTAATTGTTTCAGAAATGTAACCATTAGCTTATTCTTTCTGAGAAGGTTGCGCTTCACACTGGAAATATGCCTATTTGGCTACAGTCTTTCCTTTTGACCTGTAAAGTGTAGGGCAGGATTTTTCACTTCCCCTTGCCTGAATCAGATAGTCCTTGGCTCGTTCAGAAGGTGACTTCCGGAGCTCAGTTAACTTTCTCTGGGCAGGATATCCAGAATATTACAAAGGGGAGCCCCGAGGACTTGATGGGACCCTCCCACCCCCAAACAGCGGCCACTGCGGGTACCGTTCCACCTTTGCGCTGGCGAGGCCAGGGAGGCCTATTGGAAGGGTGCCCTGAGTGAGCGTCTTCCAGCTCCCCTCTTTCCAGACGGGAGGTGATAATAATAACTCACGATCACTGCTGTGAAGGTCAGGTCCCAGCAGACAGAGGCCTTGGGGATGTCAGTAGTAACAGTGACGTCCCCCTTTGGAGGGAATCCCATGCTCGCCCCGTGAGTGGGGAGCAGGGTGCTGGGCAGCGGCCCGCAGCATCACAGGATGGACAGCTGAGCCTCAGGACTGCCCAGCTGAGAGCACCCTGCCCGCTGCTGGGGGCGGGCGCGACGCCCCGGGAGCCCGTGCCCAGCCCTGGACGGGCTCACCCAGGAGGGCAGACACTGGGGCGGTTATTACCAGCTTCCGTCTCGCGTCGGTCCAGGCTTGGTTGCTGCTGGGGCGGGGCTCACGACCCTGGTGCCCCTCGCAGGAGCCAGCTGACCTCTGCGGCTAGCGAGGGGGTCTCAGGACGGAGGCTCGGCCAGTGCGTGGGACCCTCCTGCCGCGCAGCAGGCGACCTCCAGGGTGGGGCGAGGGCCTCTAGGAGGACAGGGACAGCACGTGCTGCCCCAGGGAAGAGAGAAAGGCCAGGGGAAGCTGACCGGGAGCGCAGGTGTGTGCCTGCAGACGGCTGAGCTGAGGCGTGCCGGGCCCCCCGGGGCTGAACGTCACTTCCTGCCTCCTCCATGGACGCCGGCCGTGTGTGTCTCAGTTCTTCTGGCCAGTAGGGTTCTGCTAGTGGCTTAAAAGTTAATTCTCACAGGGAAGGAGTCCTCTCGCCTTGGGCCTTTTCTGTACCAGTAAACCATGCCCGCTCTCAGGCTGCAGCGGAGCCCGTGGCATTTTCTGCCCCGTCTCTTTGGGAACAGCCAGCCACAGGGTGTGACCTCCTCTGGCGTCTCTGGCTCCCAGACGCGCAGGCCTTCGGGGATTTTTTACAATATTTTGCTCAATATTTTACAATATTTTACAATATTTTTTCTTGGTGTCCACTGTTTCCTCCTGCGCTGCTGCAGGTGATCCAGGGTCCATCACCTCTTTCCTTGGATGGTTCTGTCTTTCTCTAGATTTATTTGCTCTGTGCTCCCCTGGAAGCTCAGCTGGTAAAGAACATTCTGCAATGCAGGAGACCCCGGTTTGATTTTGGGGTCGGGAAGATCCCCTGGAGAAGGGATAGTCTATCCACTCTAGTATTATTGGGCTTCCCTGGCGGCTCAGACCGTAAAGAATCCGCCTGAAATGCAGAAGACCTGGGTTGAGAAGATCCCCTGGAGGAGGCCTTGGCAACCCACTCCAGTATACTTGCCTGGAGAATCCCTGTGGACAGAGGAGCCTGGCGGGCTATAGTCCATGAGGTCATAAAGTGTCGGACACGACTGAGCAACTGAGGCTCAGCACACATTTGCTCTGTGGCCTGGGGCTTCCCTGCTGGCTCAGATGGTGAAGAATCTGCCTGCAATGCAGGAGACCTGGGTTTGATCCCTGGGTCAGTACCTTAGCTCTCTCTTGGGATTCAGTTATCATGGCTTTGAAATTATCTAGCTTTTTCTTGTGACTGGAGTAGGAGAGAGGTTCCTTCTGGCTTTCTGCCTCCCAAGCTCAAGCAGAACACCTCCCTTCAGTCATGTTTCCAGCCATAAATCTCTGCTAATAGCTTCTGACTCACTCTGTCAATAGGGTAATTCGTTTTTACAAACATAATCCTCAGGTGTTGGGAAATCTTGACAGGTCTCTTGACTCAGGTGTTATTTAGCGCTGCTTTGTAATTTCATTTAGGTAAAGAATCTTCACGGAATGTGGGAGACCTGGGTTCAATCCCCAGGCTGGGAAAACTCCCTGGAGAAGGGGACACCCACTTCAGTATCGTTGGGGCTTCCTTGGTGGCTCAGATGGTAAAGAATTTGCCTACAACGTGGGCGGCCCAGGTTTGATCCTTGGGTCAGGAAGAGCCCCTGGAGAAGGAAATGGCAGCTCGCTCCAGTGTTCTTGCCTGGAGAAATCCATGGACAGAGGGGCCTGCTGAGCTCCATCCGTGGGGTCGCAGACAGTCGGACACGACTGAGCACCTAACACGTTTACTTTCAGCACTGCTTTCAATTTCCGTTTACGTAGAGATCTGATTTGCTGGAACTCGGTTGTACTTGCAAGGTGCAGCCACAGTGAATATCAAGCTTCCGGACTCACTTATCAGCTTTGTGGAACAGCCTCCTGGGAGTTGAAAGGCAGGGGAGATGCTAAGGGGGAAGCAGTCAAGCGAGTGAAGTGAAGTGAAAGTCACTCAGTCGTGTCCGACTCTTTGCGACCCCATGGACTGTAGTCCATGGAATTCTCCAGGCCAGAATACTGAAGTGGGTAGTCTTTCCCTTCTCCAGGGGATCTTCCCCACCCAGGGATCAAAACTGGGTCTGCAGGCGGATTCTTTACCAGCTGAGCCAGCAGGGAAGCCCAAGAATACTGGGGCAGGTAGCCTATCCCTTCTCCAGGGGATCTTCTGGACCCAGGAATCAAACCGGGGTCTCCTGCATTGCAGGCAGATTCTTTATCAACTGAGCTAGCAGAGAAGCCAGGCAAGGATCCCAGGTAATAGTCTGGACCTGTCTGCTCCTGAAAATCGTCGCTGTTGAGAACTATAGCTCGGAGGGAAGGCTTTCCTGGGCTCCTTCTTCTGTGATCATCATCACACCCACCCCACCCTCACACTGCCCCCTGCCGCCTGCCCCCTGCTGCCAGTCTGATGTTTTTATTCTCATTTAAAACCGCTAAAAGTGTTCTCCATTTTGCACTCCGTTTACACTTATCATTTTTACCCAAGACTTTCTAAGGAGACACCCAAAGACATAGAGAAATCTTTACAGTGAAAGGGTGAAATATTCATTTCATATCTCGCTTCCTCTTCAGGAGTATACAGGGTACATTTGTGATTACTGACTGGCATGCCACCTATGGAATGAATAATGGGTAACAGAAGGAACCATGAAGGATGGAATAGAATAGAGGATTTCTAAAAAATTGAGTATCTAGAGGTGTTATTGAAACGTTTTTGAGTTACATGAAATATTTTATCCAAGTTTTCCCTGAAGTAATTGCTTACTTTTGAAAAGCAATGATATTTTATTTCAATTGACTTGAGTCTCATGGGTAAACGAAATCTAGTGTGTAGACACATGAAGGAATAAGGAAATTTATTGCTATTTAACTTTTTCAGATTAAGAGTTAGAGAATTCAGCAGAAAGAATAAATTTTACTCAGCAACTCATTTCAAAACTTATGGGTTTTTTAACATTATTTATTTTGTAATAATAATAAAACACTTTTATTAAAAGCTCAAGATCTTTCTATTCTATTCCAGAAAATCCTAAGTCTACTCCTACGGAGTTATTCGAATATTTATTCAGCCCCTTCTATTTGCTGCACACTGTGATGAATAAAGCTTAGCACTTGTCATCAAGTAGCTTATATTTCTAATGTAGCTGACAAGGGTCCAAGCTCAATTTTTCATATATTTTTCATTTCCTTCAATGGATAAAAAAAGAGCTCTTATGGTATTGCATAGGAAGTCCTATAACATAAATGTCTTTATGTTTTTGTAATATTTTGCCTGTTCAAGTGGAAACCTTATGAGTCACTACGGGTTTTCTTCTAACCAGTTTGACTTTTGAATTCATTTGAATTGATTGAATTTTGACTGGTAGCTTTTCCCTGAAAACACAGACAAAAATCATTTTCCAGCTGATCTTTAGCTAAAAATGTCAGTCATGCAAAGTTTCATGTAGTTATTATTCTCTAGCCTTTTAAAATATCATTAAAGACCACTTAAATTTTTTCCCCTCTATTTCCAGTTGATCCATGGGAGATTGAAATGGTTTCAAGTTTCAAGTTACTAAATTAAGTATATTGTGCACTTCATTTTTGTCCTCTTTTTAAAGCCATTAGAAAAAAAAATATGAAAGGATTTGCTGTGAAATTTTGAGCTGGGCATGTTTGGGGCTGATTTTAGAATTTCATCAGTAGGGAAGGTACGACCATGTTCATCTTTAGGGAAAACTTTTAGCCTAAAAGTGGAAATTTACATTAGGAGAGTCCAAGAGAACTTTGATTCTAGGGCTTCCTTATTCCCTGGTGAATTCACAGGTTCAGAGAACCTCGATGTTATCAGTGACTTTCCATTATGATTAGCTTGCTAGAGATCAAGCTTTAGAGAAGAAGAGGATCCATCTTACAAAAACATCTGGTGACAATGTTGCAAGGGTCCTGGCTGTTTGAGTCTAACAAATGTAGCAGAAACTCGGAGAACTGGAGCTGAGATTCCAGGGTTAGTCCACCGTCCACTCTGACACTGCGTCTTGCTTTTGGCTTGTGGATGTTCGTATGTATTTTACGACTCAGGTGAGGGCCCTTGGAATGCCCTTTCTCAGTGTGGTCCATGGGTTGCCTGCGTCAGAACCATCTTGGATTTTGGAAAATTCAAATTCCCTGCTCGTAGTCTACCTCAGAATCTGAGGATCTATATATGTCATCAGCTTCCTGAGTGGAGATGTCTCATTCAGTTTTCATTTTTGTTCAGTTACTGAGTTGTGTCTGACTCTTTGTGATCTCATGGACTGCAGCACGCCAGGCCTCCCTGTCCTTCACTACCTCTTAGAGTTTTCTCAAACTCATGTCCATTGTGTCGGTGATGCCATCCAACCATCTCATCCTCTGTCATCCCCTTCTCCTCCTGCCTTCCATCTTTCCCAGCATCAGGGTCTTTTCCAATGAGTCAGGTCTTTGCATCAAGTGGCCAAAGTATTGGAGCTTCAGCTTCAGCATCAGTCCTTCCAATGAATATTCAGGCTTGATTTCCTTTATGATTGACTAGTTTGATCTCCTTGCTGCCAAGGGGCTCTCAAGAGTCTTCTCTAGCACCACAGTTGAGTGAGTGAGTGAGTGAGTGAGTGAAGTCGCTCAGTTGTGTCCAACTCTTTGTGACCCCATGGACTATAGCCTACCAGGCTCCTCCCTCCACGGGATTCTCCAGGCAAGAATACTGGAGTGGGTTGCCATTTCCTTCTCCAGAGGATCTTCCTGACCCAGAGATCGAACCTGGGTCTTCCGCATTGCAGGCAGACACTTTAACCTCTGAGCCACCAGGAAGCCCCCAGCACCACAGTTAGAAAGCATCAGTTCT